TCTAGTTTATGTAGATTATTTAATTCTTGCAAGCACCACTTTATCTGATTTTAATCATGTCAAATATGTTTGGATAACAAATTCAATATTAAATATTTGGGAGACTTATAATGTTTTCTTTGTTCGAAATATCAAAGTCATCCAAAGGCTTATCTGTATGCCAAATAAAATATTGTTTAGACCTTTTGAAGGACACATGTTTATTGGGTGGTAAACCAACCCTAACACCAATGAATCCATCCCACGATTTATATTCAAAATTACCTTTCACATGCAACTCAATTCAAACAATTAATTAGTAAGTTAATTTATATCAACCATTATAGACATGACATTAGTTACTCTGTTTGCAAGTTGAGTCAATTCTTGTCTAAGCCAACAATAACACACTTTCAAGCTTCGCTCCTAATTGTTATATATCTCATTAGTTATCCCTTAACTGGACTTTTATTCAACGCAAATTCCAACCTAACCTTAATAGGATTCACAGATTATGACCGGGGATCCTTCCCTCTCACTCGACGATCAACAACAGGTTTTTGTTTCTTATTCCATGACACCTTCTATGAATGAAGCAAACACATAGAAATGGATTTCCATCTCATTAGTGATAAGGTTATGCATAAAATTGTCCACCTTTATCCCATTCATTATGCAAACATAGTCATTGATATCTTCACCAAAGCACTACACTTTGGACCCTTTTTTTGCTCGTCTCTAAACTTGGAATGTATTCCATCCACTCTAGTTTGAAAGGGGTGTTAAATTGTAAATAATTTTAGTTAGTTCTTCTTTTTTTAAAACACCAACTAGTTAAACTCCCTGATGCTAGCCAGGTGAAATCACAAATGACTGGTTTATGTGTCTGTATTTGGTCTATGGGAGTATGAAGGAATAATCTCCATCTTTGGGCTCCTTAATTCTTACATGTATGTTTCTCTCACCTAATTATCTTCCCTCTTTTATGTTATTCACTATTCCCATTTTTGTGGATAATGAAGCATTTTTCTCTTCTTCTCTGATCCTCTCCCTATTTTCATGTTGATGTCATCTATATATTATCCCTTGCATAAGCCTTATTTCAATGGTATTTGAATTGGTATAATGGATCAATTTGTTACTTTACCAATGGACTTAATGTTATAACTGACTGGTTATTATTGTTTGACCCTTGGGTGTTGTAACGGCCAAATGCCATTAGATGTGGCTTCCTAGATTCCAAGATGGGAAGTCCATCCCAGTTATTTTGCTTGTCATAGGCTAGGTGCAAAAAGTTCCAAGATATACATACCAACCTGAATCTAGGCTGGGTGAAGTATCTATTTCCCGGCTAAAATGCAAAAGACGGGGTATATCCTGGTTAAGGAGGTATTTTAGGGTTCTACGACGCCAACATTTCAATCCAATCATTAATCCATATCAAGAACTATCTCGGTCACAAGGATAAAAATTTGAGATGTACATTAGTGTTTGATAAAAAAGTATAGGTGTGTGTGTTCCCCCTACAAGAACATGGAAACTTAGAGATCTTAGTAGATATATTATGCTGTATAGTGGTTAGGATTTTTCAATGGAGGCGAGAAGCCCTATGAAATGATGTATTAAGGTGGTTTTAGGAGTTATGTTCATGTGAGGTGAAGGCTATGTGGATGAGTTATAGGGGTGATCATATGAGTCGTGATCTTGAGAAATGATATGATTTAGGGTGTAATGATATCTTTTCTCCCTTTGGAAAGAAGATTATTTATAGAGGCTTATAGGGTATAAGGCTTTCTTAGAAATGGTCACTTCCCACTCAGTCAATAGTGGGTCATTGAATCCCTATATCCAAGGGATATGTGGGTCAGTTAATGGTCCTGACTTCTCTCTTCCCAAGAAACGTCTTATCCCACGTTTCCCACAACTGGATAATAGGAAAGCTCTGGGACTAGGCGATTCCTCCCATTAGGTGATACTCTATGTAGCCTCTTCTTAGACAGTCTAAAGCAGACATCCTAAGCGAGGCTCTTTACGATTATAATACTGCATAGTCCCTTAAGTATGAGGCCTTTGATAGAAGATAGAGTGTTTTTAGATCGTAGCTTATGGGTGTATCCCGAGAACCCGCACTTACTCAAGTGAGACCTTAGTTATCCATGGAAATTTGAGTCTTTTAGGCATAGCAACATATAGTATGAATGAGGAGGCCATAAGTCTCTCAGGCAAGAGTTTGGTTAGCATGGGAAGTCTAAGTTTCTAGATGAGACATTTGATCTATCGGGCCGAATTTCCATCAAACCCTCAAGAAAGACTAGTGATTAAGTCTCTCAGTCTAGATATCAGTCGCTACTCTAGGCATGATTCTTGAATTTGATCCCGTCCGTGGAGATACAAAGTCCATCTGGCGCAACAATATATATCTTAGCCGATGAGACATAAAGTCCCTCAGGCGAGGCATTTGACCTATCGGGAGGAACTTCTATTGAGCCCTCGGGCAAGACTTGTGATCAAGTCTCTCGGCATGGATATCGGTCGCGCCTCTTAGGCATGATTCTTTAGTTTTATCCGGCCTAGATATCGATCGCTCCTCTTCTATTGCTGGTCATTTTTACAATAACAACATTTCTTCTCTTTGGATAAAAAATTATCCACTCTCGACTCTCAAAATTTAGAGAATAGCCATGCTCCAAAAGTTGTCCAATGCTTAGCAAGTACTCATCTAACTCTGACACCTAAAGAGTGTCATGAATGAATTTTCTTCCTTGCTTTATTGTAACTCCAATGTTGCCTTTTCCTTTTACTTCAACATGTTCTCCATTGCCTAATTTAACTTTTGATCCAAATGATGAATCAATGTTGATAAAAGCTTCTTTCTTTCAAGTCATATGATTGCTACAACCGCTATCCAAATACCACACATTTTATCTTCTTGAAATACTTTTTGACAAGCAAAGAACAAATTACCTTCATCATTTTCTCCTTCTGCAAATGAAGCATATTGTTGATTGGCAAAACGAAAATCTTTTTGAATATGTCTGAATCTTTTGCAATTGTGATATTTTGGTTTGCCCTTGTTCTAGCAATCCTTCTCGTCATGAGTGTTACTCTTACAAAATTTTCACCATTTATTTGATGCTCCTTTATGCAATCTTCATCCATTCGCACCTCTTCCTATTCCTCGTGAGTTTCTTCCTCTTCCCATGCCTCTACCAAATCTTCCACCTCTAGAAGACGCACCTCTATTTTGTATTGGGGGCTTATTTTCACCATTGTTGGACTAAATGTTGAGTTTAGATTGAAAGACACTCTCAACTAATTTTGCAGAGTGTCGTAACAACCTTTGCTTGTAGGATCTCAAAGACCCAATCAACCCTTGAACAGACATAGTTAATAGGTCCTTAGTTTCTTCTATAACAGCCACCATAGGATCAAATTTTTCTGTCAAACTAATAAGAGTTTTATCAACAATTCTGCGATCATCTATTTTATCTCCATGTGACTTCATTTGATTCACCAATTTAGAGAGTCTATTAAAGTATTCATTTAAACTGTCATTCTCTTTCATTCTTTCATTTTCATAGTCTTTCTTAAGAGATTGAAGTTTCATAGTTCTCACACTTGAGTCTGCTTCAAACTCTTGTTGTAGAATATTTCATGCTTCCTTTGATGTTTTTGCTCTCATAATCCTTGGGAAATGGATAGAGAGACCCCTCTTTGAATCATCCAGAGAACTCCAGTATTTGTGATCTTCTTCTTCTTCAATTCTTCAAGTCGTTGGCTTGATTCTTCAACCTTTTCTTTTGATTCTCCAGCCTCTATTGCTGCTGGTTCTTTATACCTATTTTGGACGAACTCCAAGACATCCAAAAAGGTGAATAGAGTCTCCATTTTAATAATCCAAAAAACATAATTCTCTCCTTCAAAGAAAGGAACTTTAACATTGCTATAAGTTGCAGAAGAGTTGCTTGTGGAAGCTGTAATATTTGTTTTAGTTTTGATGTAGCTGCAAGGATCTCTAGCTCTGATACCACACTGTTGGTGGTATTCTAGATGTGATATGTGATAAATTATATTGTTGCAGAATTTAGAGTAAGAAAATATTTTTGAGTCATGTTTTACATTAAACTTTTACTGGTAGAGGTTGGGCTTTGAAATACCTTATTTCTATTGAATTTACCATACACTTTTTTCTTGCATACAACTTAGTATTACAAAGCCTTTATATAGGCTTGAAGCAAACGGATAGAAAAAACAATAAATTGATAATCAAGATGAAGACTCTTTGATTCTCTCAATCTTAATAGTACAACTCTACCATAAATCTAAATAAAGACAATAATTATAATATGATAGTTACAATTCTCTCATAATATTTATTAAAGATAGTGGTGGTTACATCACATTAATTTTAACATCCAACATCATTATTGAATTTCAGAAATTTGATGACACAATCTTTAACATATTAACATCTAAGTTCTTTCCTAGTCCTCCTCTGAACTATTTGAGTTCTATCCTTTCCTCAAGAATAATGAAAGATGATATTTTCATACGATTTTACAAATTGAAATGAACAAAAAAAAAGAAATTTGAATTAATAGACAATTAGTACCAAATAAACAACATAAAAGAAATTACATCAATCAGACACAACCTTCCTCCATAAAAAAAAAAAAAAGAGGAGAAAATAAATTTCTAAATGGCTTCCATTTCCATACATTATCCCAATAAAAACTCACTATTCTTTGTCCCCTTATTCCACCCAAAAAATTAAAAACAAAAAAAAAACATCAAGAATAATCTTCTGTTAATCTTATATTCCAAACCAATCCCAAATAATCACATTAAAAAGAGAAATTACAACAAAAAAAACACCAATCTATTTAGAACCAATTCCACATGTCAACTTCCTACCCTCCAATTACTCATAAATGTGTGTCAAGGTCCCACATCAACTTTAATAGGAACATATCACATGTTAGCACCAAGGAACATAATAACATCATCCACTTTTTTTCCTTTTAACTGAGAAGTTGCTCTTTGTCTTTGCATTCCAAGTGATTATGGAAAGAGTGTTGTTGTGGTTGTGATGTTGGTGGTGATTGAAGAGAATGACCATCGTTGCTGTTATTATTGATTGAATTCCCCATCTTATGTATATTTTGTTGGTGGTAGATTTGTCTCAACCTTTCTATTTCCTTCTTTAATGCTTCTTGATGAGCTGAAAAATTCACAAACATATATAAATGTTTAAAAATTAACATCATTTGGTAAACCGTACAACAACATCTAATTACATATCTACGAGTTTGGATCTACGACATCTCACTGAAAGTTACCAAAATATGAATTAATTAAAACACAAAAGAGAGATTAGGTATTATACCATCTTTAAAAAGCTTGTCTTGGGCCAATGCTGCAATCCTTTGCTTTAAGGCACTGTTGTCGACATTAAGAATCAAACGTTGATGGTCCAAGAATGCTACTCGTGGTGACAATGCTGAAACCTCTGTCTATTGTCACATTTTTTTTCAAAATTAATTATTTACCATAACATTCCAATTTTATATACAATATGAAAAAAAACAAATCTAACTAAACTGTTTATTTATTTACCTGCAAAGATGTTACACTCCTTTCAAGTTCAGAAATGTATTGTAGCTTTCTCACCCTTGACCTCTGAGCTGATTGCCGATTTGCCAATATTCTGTTATAATCATACACATAATTGATAATCATAATAATAAACAGTTAGATTTGGCATCTAAATCCTTAATATTCATTCCAAAATAACGCATCAAGATGCGTAAGTGTTCAACATTTTTGTTTAAGTTTTTAAAGATCATTATTTCTAAGGTAAAAATAACTTACTTCTAAAATTAGGTTAACAAATGAATACATAATTTGATCTAATTAATTTATTAAATCACCATTATCTTTAAAGACGTGCAAGGAAGATTATTCTATACCATCTATAAATATTCAACGATAGTTAAATAAAATTTTATAATAATATTTTATCACAGTTAAATTATAGTTAAATAATATCATTCATGATTAAAGTGTAACTAATGTGCATAGGATTTTCAAAACTCTAATAGCTTTAGATTAATTTTTGGAAGACCCATAAAGATAAATAATTGATTTCAGAAAATTTTGAGATGTTTGTTTTATCAAATATAAATTGTTTTTTCTTAAAATTAAAATTTATAATTTTTGTCTTCATAATTAATTCTACATAATTTTTATATTAAAATTTATTACTAATTCACTTTTATATAAATATATTTAAAACATAAATTAATTTTATTAACGCAATTCTTCGCAAATCAATTTTGTACGCACTTAATCTCTATCAACAGAATAAGTTATCAAAAATATTTTTATTACAATTATAATAAAATCGTGTATTTGGTCATTATACCATGTCTATCTCTACAATAATTTTGCCATACTTAGATTAACCAGTGATATATTGGTTTAAATAAAATAATGATATTTTTAATTTAAAATATAACGTGTAAGACTGGGCCACCCATGCAAGAATTTTGTGGCAACTAAGTGAACAAACAAGCTTATTTTATTACAGAAATATCATAAATAGAACGTGCATGGGTGGTGGTGATTGGTGAAACAAATTACTATATCATATATTAATGATAAAAAATATTCTCTCTTTATATAAAATATCCATATTTTTTTTATTAACTTATTCTTATTTATTATATTTTAATTCATATAACTACTCTATCATTTATTATTAATAAAATTATTTTAATAAATAAAAGTTATTTTAACATTAAAATCAATATAATTATTATAAGTGTGAAAATTTAAAAGAGAAAACCTATTTAGAGATGGAGGGAGTAATATATTAAATTCACTAAGGTAATAATTAATTAATTAATTGCGATTACCTTTTGACCCTCTTGGGATCAACAACGGTTTCAGTGCAGGTGATGGTCGCGGCAAAAGATGGCGGCGCCGCCGCCTCCTCCTCCTCAATTCTACACGAGCTTTCATCTTCAACTGCTTCATCCTTAGGCTTCACCTCATGACAAAGATAACGTTCTTGCAGTGGTGCAGCAGAATCCAACACCATTGCCATTGGTTTCTCTTCATTGTTGTTGCTATTTTGGTCGGACGACGGTGACGACGGATTGGAGGTTGATGGAGGCGGAAACGAGACACCGACTCCAACATTGTCGGAGAACATGGAAATCAATTGTTCATCATCCAGTCTATCAAAGTCACCATCTCCATCACCATCACCACTTTTTCCGTCTTCCTCGAGCAATGGTGTCTCGAGGAAGGCTATAGAGTCACTGGCGGACCGCCGATGGGCTCCTCGTCTTACCGAGGAGAAGTCGAGGAATTCGTCGATCCATGATGGTATTTGTTGATGATCAGTGGTGGTGGTGGTGGAGGTGATATTTGACATTGTGGAGGATGATGATACTTTTTGGTGAGAAAAATGTTGCCAATTTTGGGGTATGGTTGGTATTTTAGGAGGTAACTGTGCCATTAAACCCAAATGTGTATGTATGTGACCCCAAATATAGAGAATTCTCACCGAATTTATTGGGTTTGTGCTATGTTATGTGTCAAAGTGTTACAAGACACAAACAACCACAAATCTTTACTTCAAAATCTTGTTTTCTTGGGTTTCTAAAACCAGAGGGAGACATAAGAGAGAGAGGGTAATAAAGAGATGATTGAGAGGCAATAAGACCTACACTACACAATATTGTGTCATGTAGACAATTATGATATGTTTTTTTTTCTTTCTTAGATTATGGTATGTGTTGTGTGATGTAATGTTAATAATTGTATATGTATAATAAGGTCCTAAGGTTTTGGAGAGAGAGAGGGGGTCACATGGGGAGAGTATTAGAGACAGCTAGCAACAGCTATGTGGTGAAAGACTCAACGGTTTTAGTGGGAAAATGGCAGTGTAGTTTAATAACAAGAGGAATCCGCAACCACGTGCAGATGTGACCTCTTTCATTTGGCTTCCATTATCTCTTCTTTCTCACCAATAATAATATTGTATATACTTCATGCTTTATTGTAATGCATTCATCCTCAACTTTAACAAGCAAGAGAAATGATATTAATCATCAAGATTGTAGTTGAGATTTGATGTGAATTTTTGTGTCTAAATAAGATAGCTGTTATAATTTTAGATATCGATAGAAAATTGGTATAACTAACTATGGCATGAAGCCATGGACCTCTTGTGTCCTATCCAATCCAAAGTATGCATTAAGTACTTAAAAGTGGGATAGTGGCACCTTTCAATGCTAGCTAGGCCCTCTGGTTTTCACATGCTCATTGCATCATCGAAAACCGTACTAGTGACTAATAACTTTGTATAGTTATCAAGAACAATAGTTTTATCTTTTGGCATGTTATAAAAAACAAAACCAGCAATAACATTTAGAGTGATATTATTTGAAAGACTGATATAATATGTGACAATTCGCAGTGATTAAGAATTATTAGAGATTTTAAGAATTTATTGTCAGGTTTAGAGATAGTTCAAATAGGAAGATGAAAAGTTTTGTATATGGTATTTGCTAATGAGATTGGATTCACCTCAATTTTTGGATTGGGGGTATTTATAGAAGTCTTTAGGTTTGAACTTCATACTCTTAGAAAGTAACAATAATTTCTAGGAGCGTTGAAAGAACTGCAGTTAATCCTCTATATTTTGGAGAACGTGATTAATTCTCCCTTGACTCCTTTTTCTCGCTGTTATGGACTGGGACATGTTACTTCTACGTTATCATGCATCCGGCGAATCATCCAAGATGTGACAGGTGTATTTGAGAAACGAGCGTCACATCCAAATGATGAGCGCTCGATGTTGGGGAAATGTGTTAGGTCGTTCCCCTCTCACGTTATCCCTTATGGGTCCTTTGTAAATATATCAATACACATTCCCTCAGGCACAGAGGCTTGAAATGGACGAAGTGATTTAGTCTTGCTTTCCTCTCCTTATTTGGATGACTCCCTAACGCAATGCCTACGGAGAATCCCTGACGTGTGAGTCGAGTCCCTCAAGTCTAGGGTGAGTCCCTAAATCCTTGGAAGAGTCACTCATGTATGAGGAGACCCCCATAGCATGTTCTGAGATACATCTCTAAGTGTCAGTGAAGTGAATCAGCATACATTAGTTGAGTGAAATGTCCAAATGTTAATTGAGATAAATTCTCAAATGTCGATTGTGAGAAATCCTCAAACGTCAGTTGAGGTAAGGCATTTGTTTGTATTTGAGGCGATCAATGATGATTTTTCCTCGGGAAGTCACTTTGGCCTTAATTCCTTACATGTGTCTCTGATGTGGAGAATATCTCATTTTCTTTCAACTATTGAGATGCTTAGGAGGAGACTGTAGATTACCCCTACAATTGGCCCTGTCTTGCATATAAAAGGATTCAATCTTCCATCATTTAACCTTCTTCGCATTATATTTTTCTAAACTTCCGTACATTTTCTTAAGAGTTGCTAAGGTATCCTACAATGTTTCCTTCGGTAAACGATATGTGACCCTTACGAAAATTGCTAAGGTATCCTACAATGTTGCCTTCTATGACTGTACGACGACCCACACCTGTCCCTTCACATCCAATGATAAGGTTTCTTACTAACTAATGGTAAGATAACACTATCTAAAGGAGGAGGAAAAGAACAAAGACTTTCTTTTGAGTAGGTAGAACGTGAAACTACGCGGCCGAGACCTGTCATCTGGATGTTAATGAAACATCAATGAAGTAGCCACCAAACGTCTTTTATCCCACCGAGAGGGAAAGGTAAACATCGAGAAAACCTGAAAAAAGGAGAAATCACGATCTTTCGACCGAGAGATCGGGTAAGGGAGTCTGTTACGCGAGGGGAAGGTGTTAGCACCCCACACGCCTGTAGTACGACTATGTCCCGTTGGATCACTACAGTCAGCTTTATTACCAAGGTCAAAAGTTCAAATGGTACAAGATCAGTTCAATTAACTTCTTTTGATAACAAATGATGAGATGTTCGAAGACATACGGGCAATAACAGAGTTGGAACCTGATGAGATCTCTTCCACATGACTATATATATTTATTTTCACTTTGTATTCTTTTCATTTCACGACGACTTCCTCTTACAAGGATTTTCGTCTCTTTGTACAAAAATGCCTGTTTATAGGCAAATTATGAATACAAATATACTTTGAAGTGCAAACTATTTTTGTTGTTTATGTTTTGATTGCAAAAACATCCAATGACTAAAATTGAATGAACATATGCATATGAACATGATTAACTGTCAACAAATGTACGCATAAGAACTAGAATAACTGCTTACTCAAGGAGCCAGGAGAACACTCACGCTATCCACAAATCCCCACAGGGTAAATTCATAAAACTTCCTTTCAGAGTTCCAATCAGCTTATCTCCTAGAAATTATTTTCCCCAGTCGAGTTTGGCTTTCCAAAACTGGGAAATAAATCTTGCAAATGTTCTTCCACAAAAGAATTCATTTCCCCAATAAGGTCGCTAGAATACTTTCTTCAACATGATTTATTTACCAAACGGGTTTCAATCTCCCCATCCTGATTCTATTCCTTAGACTACAACAAATCACTGATAAAACTCCTCTTCCGTAATAGAGTTGTCACTATCCCCAGAAAGTTCCTGAAAATCCTAGATTTCCACCAGATACCAGTCAACTATCCTCCCCAGACAAATCAGAAGTTTAAACATCTCTTTTATCCCCAATCAGGGCATATAAGAACTAAACTCCCCAGTAGAGCGACAAACGACCAATGTTCCTAAACTTTACTCCCTAAACAGAAATCAGTACATCCCTAGCAGAGTTTCTTCAAACAAATAAATAGGAATCCCCAGCGGAAGCCTTCTAGACAAAATTGAAGATACACTTACTCTTCATCCTCAACAATAATCAGGGATTTATTTTCCCAAACAAGGATACATTTCAACAACATTCATACATCATAAACATGTTCATACGAAACATATAGCACAATCTCGTTTATTTTGAGAACATCATTACGCAATACATGCATCATAACATTGCATACAACCAACTCTTTACCTTTTCAGGAAAGATCAATCAACATATGAGTATCATCAATTATATACATAATCAAACAAATTTCTCCAGAGACTAAAATCTAGCAAGTATTTCCATCAAAGACTTGCTCCAAGAAGTCATTCAGAAGAGTATCTCTCCAAGACGAAATCAAGCTCAGATTCCTTCATTACCTGTTGAAGTAATAGTCGTCTCAGATTCCTTCATTACCTGTTAAAGTAGTAGTCGTCAGAGATTCCTTCATTACTTGTTGAAGTAGTAGTCGATAGAGAATCCTTCATTACCTGTTGAAGCAGTAGTCGTCACAGATTCCTTCATTACCTATTGAAGTAGTAGTCGTCAGAGATTCCTTTATTACCTGTTGAAGTAGTATTCGTCGCAGATTCCTTCATTACCTGTTGAAGTAGTAGTCATCAAAGATTCCTTCATTACCTGTTGAAGTAGTAGTCGTCACAGATTCCTTCAGTACCTGTTAAAGTAGTAGTCGTCAGAGATTCCTTCATTACCTGTTGAAGTAGTATTCGTCACAGATTCCTTCATTACCTATTGAAGTAGTAGTCGTAAGATATTCCTTCATTACCTATTGAAGTAGTAGTCGTTGCAGATTTTCATTACATGTTGAAGTAGTAGTCATCATAAATTCCTTCATTACATGTTGAAGTAGTAGTCATCGTAGATTCCTTCATTACCTGTTGAAGTAGTAGTCATCAGAGATTCCTTCATTACCTGTTGAAGTAGTAGTCATCACAAATTCCTTCATTACCTGTTGAAGTAGTAGTCGTCACAGATTCCTTCATTATCTGTTGAAGTAGTATTCGTCACAGATTCCTTCATTATATGTTGAAGTAGTAGTCATCATAGATTCCTTCATTACTTGTTGAAGTAGTAGTCGCATGGAGATTCTTTTTCCGGATACATCTCTTAAAAATCAATTCAAACATTATACTTACCAACAGTCACTCTGGATGACATCTATAAGCCCATCTCTGACGATTCTCTGTCACCCTTGGATGGAATATACAAGCCCATCTCCGTTAACTGTTTATCACCTCTCCAAATGGCATCTTTAAGCCCATTCCCGACACAATCAACTTACAACATTACTTCGTGCACCAACGAGTGCAAATTTCTGGGCACTCTAGTGTTCAATCATCTTCTACCTTCAAGTAACGAATGAGGAATATACCAATCTAACTTTTCAGGTTTAAGAAGATTTAACAGGGGCAGTTGTTGTACCCCAAAATTTTCCCTCCCTTTTATCAATACATTTCTCACAAAGATCTTCAATGGCTCAAGTTTACACAAGTGTTGACTTGGTCAAACCACTTCCTAAACACTGAGGCTTCAAATTGGGGTTTTGATTTCCACAAGGACAATTGGACTTCTAATGCTCCAAATTACTTTCATAATTTATTATAGACCTCCAAG